AGCTGTCGCAAGGCCTGCTTTAGGTCCTTCGCGATGTTGCCCTTCGTGCTCGTGAACTCTATGATGGCGTCGAGCTGTCCCGCGATTGCAAGCAGCCTAGGGAGGGGCCCAAAGCTATTCATGGTTCTGATTAGCCCGGGCCAGTCCTTCGGCTGCTCCTCCGGCTGTCCACCGATCTCGGCCGTTGTCTCTGCATCGCGCGGAGATTTCGGCCGTTTGTTCGGCTCACTGTGTTTAGGAGATCTGGATAGACCACCCTTCGCGAACGGATTCGCGGTCGCCTCCTCGGCGACTTGTTCACTGGGGGTTTGGGGTTTTTGGCTTTTTTTGATGATTTTTTGAAATCATCCCGACTGTTGGGTCCCCCTTAGACCGCTATCCTACCGTGCAAATGGAATAGTCGCTGATTGATCCCCATGGGTGCCAGTGAGGTCCATGACAAGGGTTGACATAGGCCTTCATGGGGCGTTATGTTCAGAGCCGGATCGCGTAAGACGGGAATAACTCAACCGAACCTATTCCCACCGCAGCCCCAACTGGGTGGCACGGGAGGAACGTATTCTAAGGCCTGCCAGGGTTTTATGGGACGGAGACGAACAAGGCATTAGCTCAAACGTCGTTTCGGTCGGTTCCACCCGACTCTACTAAGAGAATGAAATACCTTGAGCGCCAGCCCGTAGCTTGGTTTATGATAAGTTTCCACTCTGTATCCTACATAATGCCAGTGTGTCAGTATAAATACTTGCGATTTTACTGACATCGATCGCAAGGCGCCGTCCGGCGCGTCCCCTCGTTTGTTGTTCGATTAGCCGACTGGATCAGTACCGCAGCACTGGTGGTCCATCGTTTCCAGGGTGCACCACGAGGAGGCGAACAACTTCACACCCTAGCTCGTCTTAATTATCGTTAAGAGATCGAGCATTCCAATTTAAAATATTTAATGATTTAAAATCCATTACTGAATATCAAAGTCATGACAATATTGTTCGAAAATTTTACTCCAGTTCGAATAGCATCAAACATGGAGTTAGATTTAAGCATATCAGAAATCATGTCAATTTCTGTAAAAAAATTTAGGAGCTGTACTGATTCCTCAGTCAAAATTTCCGTTAGAATTACGTTGGTTAGTATTTTGATTTCTACCCGCTGCAATAGCAGTATAGGTAGCTCCATTAACTCACTGAACATGGTTAGCAGCGAGGGGAGTAGGTATAGATGAAGAATTCGAAGCAGGGGTGATATTTGTACCTATGGGTACGACTGTAGAATTTGTTCCTCGCTGACCGTTGTTAACAGCAGAGTAATTTGTACCTGTTCGAGAACGTGGAGCGTTTCCTATCTGTCGCTTAGAACGAGATTGTAGGATCGCTTTGCCAGTCTTACATTCCCAAAAATTGGATTTGTGGTTTTCACCACAATTTGAACATTTAAATTTCTTAGGATCTTCCTTTGCGTGAGAGGAATCACCACAATTCATGCATTTAGCTGGCATGTAGCAGTTTTTTGTTCCATGACCCCATGTCTGGCACTTACAGCACTGAGTGAGGTTTTGGAAATTTCCTCCAGTCTTCCTGAAGTGTTCCCACTTCACTCGGACATGGAACATAAAGCTAGTTTTTTTCTAAGGCCTTAAGGTTGTTTAGTTCACTAGATGGAACTAAACTAAAATTCTGAAGTGAACTAAATAAAAATCATAAGAAATCCCGTTGCGCGAATCGCCAGGACAGGATTTCATTTTCATTTTGATTACTTGGAGTAGCACAACTCCAAGTAATTTTGCCAGTTTCAGTGATGGCATAATCCTCACTCAAATGATTTTGTTTCGCTCTCAAGGGCTCCCAATATCACGCATGATATTGGAATAAAATATCAAGCATGATATTGTTTTTACAAGCTCCTTTGATATTGCAAGACTATTCAGAACATGTAAAATTGCAGCCACGAGTTGACTTACCACAAAAATGATTCCTTTGCACATCGTTTTCTTAGAAAGAGAAAGCATAGGTTGCTATCTGTGAAGCGTCACAGATGGCAGACACGAAGTTACTGCTGCCAGCAGTGATGGAAGCTTCCTTTCGTGTTCGGAAATACAGCAAAAATCTTGAAGCTCAAACTCAACACAGTTTGGTGAGAATTGTAGCCGGGGAGTTTTGTTAGCATGATATCATAGCAATCGTATCACAGCTTGTAATATCATCGGCTGTTGTTTGCGTGTTGATTTTTGGTTTACGATACTCAAATGATATTATGCACATTTGTGAGATAAGATCTTTTGATATTTTCACAACACTGGCCAGTTTATCTTTGATCTGATCCAGGCATTCACCACTGGGCAGTCATTTTATGACAACCTTGAACACACGTTCAGTTTTGGTGTCGTAACTAAAACAATTATGCTGCTTCTCAGTAAGATACTTGAGAAGACATTTAAATCCGTCCAAGGTTTCAGCCAATACACGGCATTCACCCCGACGTCCAATTTGTAGTGAAAACTTAACTTTCACGAAGTTGAAAAGTTCCATGCGAAGAGCATGGAAATCGGAAGTGGTTATCACAATAGGGGGAATGTTTTCCCTCTTGACATTAAACCGGGAAAGGTTACTAGAATTTTTCCTGGATGATGGATCATTCTCATCATCCGTGAGCAAATCAAATTGATTGCTAAAATTAATTTCATCAGAAGGGGGATCAAGAGATTGCCCTTTTCTTTTGCGCTTAGGCGCCATGGCGGCAGTAATTTTTTTTATCCAAATCGACTTTCAAGCAGATTACTATAAGAATCTGAAGGATCGAAGAGGAATTTTCCAAATCGATATCCAAGAAGACCTCGGGTAGGGTCCAAACAAGGATCGAAGAGGAATAAGAGTCAAACAAGGTAGACAATTTGCAGGTATATTGAGCACTGAAAAGAGTTGTTTAAATTTGTTGTAGCTTTAGGTAGCAATAACACTTCCATCAGCAAAAAGCAAATAGATCCACACGGCAAGAGAGCACGATGCGGACTGGTAATGAATCTCATTCAAACAAGTAAAAGTGCGTGTGATTTTAAATGTCCGGTAAATTAACAAGATGAGTCCATCTAAAGCCATCCACGTAAAATTCAAGTGACGTTTTTTTACATGCATGTAAATTTCAAGTCATGAATATGCATGCTATTGTTATGTGCATGGAAATTCGTGTAAAATAACAAAATAATTTTAACTTTGAGTTCCTTGCTTGTTGTTTTATTTGTCTACGAAAATCTAGCGTGATCTTGGGCATTGATGAGATTTGATATTTTTCCAACATGATGATGATTATGATGATGATGATGATGATGATGAAAATCAGAGGTGTTGCAACTATTTGGCCTGGAACTGCTAACTAATTATGCTAACTCAAGATTGATAAAAATGAAGATTGGACTGACATGCGGTTATTAGCAGTGTTGTGTTTGCGATTTTGAGAATTCTTGGGAATAATAATGACAACGGCTAAACAAAACTCCCCTATTTGTTGCTTTATATATACATACATATATACTATAGATGAGGGGTAAGAGGGGCATAGTGAACAAGTGGGCAAAACAAGCATCCCGTACTCCAGTCTTAAACCTCTAATTGTTCGAAACAAATTAATTGGTAGCAGGTTCAACATCACCATTGCAATGATTAATTTATTTCGAACCATAAGATATCGAAGGCAAGAGCACATGAAACTCACTATGCCACTCTTTCCGCTACCTTTTTTTTTTTCTTTTGAACGGAAAATACAGTTCTATCGAAAACGGGGTGTATATTTCAGAGTATAGTTTGTTTCGGCATCGAAACATCTCAAATATGTAATAATGTTTAATTCTGCAATTATCGTAAAAAGTTAATAAAAGGTTATTTACATTTTTACTCCCACTGCATCCAGCGTAGTTTTTGCATTAATCAATATCTTGAAACTACTAAGCAAACAAACTCACATAACATTTGCTGCAGCAACACACAGCAGTTCTTGTGCGATACACACACTGACAAACATATCATAAAATAACCGATGCGATGGGTCAAGTTTGCATGGTGGATCACAACCCCCTGCTCCATGGTACTCTTTTTTTAAGCTAAGGGGCTGTTCATTAACTACGTAGACAGTTTTTTGGGATTCTTGACGGGGGGTTCCCACTGCGTAGACAATTGTCGATACAAAAACTTTAAAATTTGTATGGGCCGTGGATAATTGTCAATCCCCCCCCCCCCCTAAACTGTCTACGTAGTTTATGAACAGCCCCTAAGTCGTTTATTTCGAAGGCTCATTCGCGTTAGCTTCACAGAGCCGATAATTCATTTTCTTTGTTTGTAACAAAATTCACTTAATTCTATGTCTAGTAGTAGTTGGGCCGAATAATAGCGGCTTACACGAGGTTAGAGGGGTACATTGTCAAAAGATAGGATTAGAGAAGGAGCTTGGGGTGAGGTTTCGTTGTTTCATCAGAGCGTTGTCGGCAGTATAGTATTTTTTTGATTTTGTATTACTTCTAGCTGATTGTGACATTTTGTTTTAGATCGCAAAGTGGTTTAGTTTTTGTTTGTTTGTGGTTGTGGTTCAAAGGCAGGGTGGTCACAATGATTAAAACATGAATATATCCTTTGTAAGCAAGCATTGCGGTACAGTGTAGAAGTCTACTACAACCATGTTTCGGATAGACCATGCGCTACCAGTCACGATGTATAATTCGGTATATTAAAAAAAAAAACTTGGAGACGTTGATTAGTACCTACATGATCACTGAAGATTCCATTATTTTCATTATTCGCTATGTTTGCAAAGAGAAACAGTATATTTTATTATTTACTAATAAATGTCAATTATCAAGTACCTACACCCCGTTAATCATCAATTGCGTCTCATTTTTCGTAGTTCATGCAATGCTGGTAGGTTTTCGAAATACCCATGTGAATTTTGCATCCTTCATCAGAACCACGTTCGTTAGTTTGCTAATAGTCCATCCTTCTCTTTCTCTCTTCCCTCTCTAGTGGACCAAGTCGGTACCGGTTTTTCGAAGGACGTTTGCCGTTCGATGGTCGCCATGCTGGATACGGACCAGTCCGGCAAACTCGGGTTTGAAGAGTTCCAAACCCTGCTGACCGACATTTCCAAGTGGAAGGCGGTATTCAAACTGTACGATCAGGATCAAACCGGTCGGCTCAGTGCGTTCGAGCTCCGTGAAGCCCTCAACTCGGCCGGGTATCATTTGAACAATCGAATCCTGAACGGATTGGTGCACCGGTACGGTTCCCGGGATGGATCGATAGCATTCGATGATTTCATCATGTGCGCCGTTAAGATCAAAACCATGATTGGTGAGTTGATTTTGACGATTCTAGTCAAGGCATGGTTGAAAGGAAAATTACCGTCTATATTTTACAGATATCTTCCGAGAACGGGACACCGAGGGCACCAACATGGCCACGTTCAGTATGGATGAATGGGTGGAGAAAACACTCTACTCGTAAGCGCTGGTCGGTTTCCAATCCCAATTTAAAATGCCACAAATAATCTCCCGTTAATTGACGTTATTTAAAGATCTAATTGTTACAATATTATTGGATCGCTCTATGCTCGAATAGAACCAAAACTATAGGCGTCTCGCATTTTCTTCCGCCCATGGAAAATGAAACACAAAATGAACAAAACAACATGCATCTACAAACCTTTTACCTACTTTTACGTTACGTTGTTATATCACTTTTTTAAAAGCAACCCGGTTTTAAACATAATTTATAGATATTTACATGTAAATAAGTATTCTACCGTGATTGGAACTATTTATGGTTGCTAAATGAACAAACAAACAAAAACGATGAGTCTATACTTATGACGAACAGCAAAGCTTGCAAGTGGCCTCGTTAATGTTCGATATGTGAAAGCGTGTGCTTGGAGCACTTAAACGAAACTAAATTATACCGAATAAGTAAATCATTGGAGCTCTTATGTGAAATTGCAAAGCAAACACAACAATTTTACCTTCAATTCTGATGTTTGGACGAGTAAATCCGTACTTTCGGGCCTAAAATTGTGACTTCTTATTGAAAATAAAAACCTAGTTGCAACTATCACAGTCCTTAGTCTATGTAACCTTAAAGCCATGATTACAATAAATCGACTCATAAAAAACCGTAACCACATTGTTAACATAAAAACATGTGTCCATCGTAGTCAGCGAGACAAACCTACACTCGACCCACATCAACGTAGAATAACATTAAAAAAAAAACCCGCTGTGTCGCCGAATCTGCAGAACATTTAAATTTAGCGCGAAATTCTCGGCCGCAAAGCGCGATGCGCTAACAACAGATGGTTTTCCCGAATAACATGTGTAAAATGTAAAAAAAAAACAACGAAAAGAAATTCATTTCAGGAAACGTGGAAAAAGAGCCGACTCCGAGATGTGTGGGGGACTACCCGAGCAAAGCCGGAGATCAGTTTGAAATGAAAATTTGCTATTAAAAATTGAACACGAAAAAATCCGGCACATTAAAAACTCTCCAATTAGGGCATTTTTTGAGTAAAATTCGTTAAAATTAACTGAATCTAGCTAAGAGTATATATAACCACAGTACACTGAAACAAGGACCATAGTTAGGAATACTATTTTGCAGAAAACACTTATTCTCAATACAACCATGCGTATTACCGTTAAATCTACTATGAATTCAGTATAGTTGAATATGAATGTTAACAAATTTACTATGATTCTGGCAAAACTACTATGCTTGGTAAAAAGGATAGTAATTTTGATAGATATAATAGTAAAATTAAATGAAATTGTTTTCTGCACAAATCTATTGGTGAGGGTATTTATTCTAAACCAGCAATATAGTTTTTTTTACTAATGGATTTTGTTTCAGTGTAGGTATGTAGGTTGTCAGGATGAGTTCATTTGTTTACATCATGGCTTCACCGGAGCAAGCACGTCGCGATTCGATCCTGCACACTCGAAACGAAAATTCCGGTCTATCCACTCCTGGCAATTTTCGATAAAGCTCCTGAGCAGGAATTTTATACCTCAGTTGACCGGAATAGTGCCCCGGAGGAATATAAAATCAAAAAGAAGTAGAAATTCCCCAAAAGTTACTTTTTTGGTAAACAATCTGCAGCCTATTCTGGCCGGACTTAGCAAGCTGCCACTACTCAAATTCCACCAAACAGTGTTGCAGCGAAAATGGCGTCACAGTCGTTCCCATGGAGATAAATCCGGTCAATACTCCGGAACTAAGTCCAATTGAGGAATACTGGTCATATACATACTGAAGAAAAAGGATGGAACTGCAATTGACCTGAAGGATTTCAAGCGGAAATGGAATTTAGCAGCCAAACAAGTGGGAACAGGGCTCGTGCAAAAGATGATGGGCCATGTACGAAGAAAACTTCGAGAAATGGCCTATTGTAACTAGGAAGACTGAAACAATGGTCTTTCAATAAGCATATTACCTACTAATGTATTACATTAAACTATGAAAAATCAAATGCATTTTTCAACCCCTGCAAGATTTTTGTTTTCGGATTTAGGTAGGTATACCTATAGGACTTTCTTCAGGACGATAGAAAAAAAAAACGCCAAAAAATAAAAAGTAGCATTAACACTGTTGAGATCTCGTAACGTGAGTAGACCGCCTTTTCGTGGTACGTTACGGAATGTAAGATCTACCACCGATTCCTAGTCCTAATTTCTTCAAACTAGGGGAACACGATTTTTTAGTAATCAAAGGAACACATCTTAGTCCTAGTTACTTTTGACGTAGGACTACGTTTGTGATTTCTATATGGGGGTACACTTTGTGAAACCCGAAAATGGAACGTGTAACAAAATTATGAAAGATTTTGAACGTTAATAACTCAGTTGCCCCTGGACCAATTTCAATAATTTTATCGCCAATCGATCAGAAATATATCTACGCATCAATAGTACTAGCATTTTCAACAAGAAACTATTGAAAAAGTGGTAATGTCAAGCATTGTCCAATGTACAAATAAAAAATGATAATTTTATCACTGTTTTCATGAAATAAACGTTCTTCCCAAACCCAGTCGATTATGACGAGTACCACTTGGTTGCACATCATTCTGCTTTAACCTGAAAAGATATAAAAGAGCGCTGCTGTCTAGCCCCAACTCATTTTCGCTTCGGATGGCGTGGTGAGCAGGCAGCAGAAGCAGCAATAGCAGCAGTAGGAAGGTGGTGGTAGGTTAGGCAGTCCACTCTTCTACCTAACAAGCAACAATGACTGGCCATGGCAAAGAAGGAAAAAGTCTTGGTAAAGGAGCCGCCAAGCGTCATCGCAAGGTTCTTCGGAAAGAGTTAAGATAATAGATGATCGATCAATTAAAAGAACTAAATGCTCCTCACATTTGTTCCGTCCATTAGCAGTCCTACGTCAAGCTTCTATTCGTGCCCCTAGACACAGACCCTTCTACTTTTTATGCCTTGTTGATAGTGACAAGACTCGGCTTTGTCCACCGAGGATGATCTTGAAACAAGGAAAAAATGAGTTATTCTTCCCCGATCAGAAGGGCATAACAAAATTATAACAACTGGAGTTATTTATTTAAAAACAAAAATTGTAACAGAAAGTGTTATAAACATTAGCTGGTTTGTTGTTAAAATAACAAAAAATCATAAAAAGAATCGTCTAGTGGTAACAAAATTATAACAGACGTTGATATTGATCTATTTATTTATTTGTCGTCAATCAGTGTAGACCGTTTTACAATTGTTGTCTTAAGTGCTATTTTTACAATTTTGTCTTTGTTTATATTTTTATAATATGTCTTGAGAACTAGATAAAAAAAAGTAGAAGGGTCTGTGCCTAGGGGCACAAACGGAAGCTTGACGTAGGACCGCTAGTGGACGGAATAAATGTGAAGAGCATTAAGTTCTTTTAATTGATCAATTATCTATTATCTCAACTCTTTCCGTTTTTGAATTGTAGGCGTACCAAATTAGTAGTAATCTTTTTCAAAGAGATAGTTGATTACGAAAATCAATCAAAATCACTTGCGCCCCTGCTTCCAAGTTTGTGTGGTCGTTGGGGGCTTGTGGTTCTGAATATGGACAAACAAGCACAGATAAATTCTATTCCAACTCTTTACTGATGTAAGCTTGATGGCCCTGAAAAGGGCCGTTCTATTGAAGAGGACATCTATGGCCACTTACGCTTGGCGTGTTTAGTGTAGGTGACAGCATCACGGACCTCATTTTCCAGGAACACCTTCAGCACACCTCGTAGATCAGACCGGAGATACGTCAGACACCGCCACGGCGAGCCAGACGACGGATAGTGGTTATCTCGAAGAATTTGCGATGACGATTGGCACCTCCTTTGCCACGACCAGTCAATTGTTGCTTGTTGGGTTATAGCAGAGTGGACTATCCACCACCTTCCTACTGTTACTATTGCTGACCACGCCGTCCGAAGTGAAAATGAGCTGATACCAGACAGCAGCGCTGCTTTATATCTTTTCAGGTTAAAGCAGAATGATGTGCAACCAAGTGGTATAAAACTACAAAGATTCCTCCCATTATGAGTAGTTTGCTATCAAGTAGCGATACTGGCTCTTTTCTTTTTGCGTACAAGGCGAATGAGAGCGACCCAAATTTAAGTTTAGTTCACTCATAATCGCCAAAAGTGTAGGAACTCAGCGATGAGTAAATTTGTCTCATGGTTTCCTGTGGAAAACCTAAAAAATCTGCCAGAAAATGAGGAAATTGACGAAAGTTTTATTTAGTCTCGGAGTAGTACCAATCTTGACTTTTCTCAAATTCGGGAATTTTTCCCTGGAAAATCCTGGAAAAACCTGGGAAAACATGAGGCGAATTTACTCATCGCTGAGTTCCTGCACTTTATTTCTTTTTCTGAGATAACTAAACTCAAATTTGGGTCGTTCTCATTCGCCGTGATAGATATCGGCACCGTTGGTTAGCGTGATTACCTCTCATCCCAGCAGGCCTGGGTCCAATCTCAGTCGGCGCCACCGGCATGTTCTAAGGCATAAATCTCTGGGAGCTGCCTTTCTGGCGTCGGTAGCATTGGAGCTCAGTACGGAAAACAAATCTCGTGTCACTTTTCAATAGGTCCTATCTACATTGATCGATTCTCTTCATCGACACTCTCTTTCGTAAATAACTCGGCTTCACAAATGTTTCCTGCCGTCTTCGTCGAATAAGATACTAGATTGTTACTTCTTCCATCGAAAATATCCGGCCGTGGCGATTCAAAGTTGATCAAGGTTGATCAAAATAATTTGTACCCCTGCTTCCAGTTTGATTACATGAGCATTTTGTGTGATCGTTGGTTCTGAATATGGACAAACAGGCAGATGAATTCTATTCCTAATCTTTACTGTAATAAGCCGAAAAGAGCTGAAAAGAGCCGTTTTGTTGCCAAAGTTGGTGATGATTTAACCTCCGAAACCAAACAGAGTGCGTCTCTGTCACTTCAAAACGTAGATGACATCCATGGCCGCTTACGCTTGGCGTGTTTAGTGTAGGTGACAGCATCACGGATCTCATTTTTCAGGAACACCTTCAGCACACCTCGTAAATCAGACCGGAGATATGTCGATGTCCACGGCGAGTTAGACGACGGCTAGTGGTTATCTCGAAGAATTTGCGTTTGGTTCTGAATATGGCGATGAGTGTGCAAAATACTACGCAATTCCATCCTCCCTATTCGCACGCGCCCGAAGATCGGAGGCGAATGCCACTTCGACTTGTTTCGTCTACTTACTACTCTCTGACGACTGTGCTGGGGAAGCAGCATATGCATGTAGGTAATTGGTGGATTTGTTAGTTAATTCGACACTTTTGGACAATGCTGGACATTTACCAGTTTTTCAATAGTTTCTTGTTGAAAATCAACATTCGGAAGCATTGTGATCGATGCGTAGCCATATTTCTGATCGATTGGTGATAAAATTATTGTAATTGGACCAGGGGCAGCTGAGTTATTAACGTTCAAAATCTTTCTTAATTTGTTACATGTTCCATTTTCAAAGTGTACCCCCATATAGAAA